CCCTCAAGTGGCAACGCTAACAACGCTGAAGAGACCTTCGAGCGCAGCTGTCACCAGCCACAGGTTCGAGAAAATATACATGATAGGGTTTTGCAAAGTGTATGCTTTTGATATTAAGTGTAGCCTGTTAATATAATATCTTCTGTGTGTTGAGCCATGAGCTGCTTCCCTGTAGGCTAGTCTAAGCATTTTCCTGTGAACGGTCAATGAGTGGGGTCATTCTGGGAGTGTATCTGCGCCTGCGTGTTTTACACATTAGGCTTGGCTTTGGGCTTATTTGCATGTCATGTTTAGTCTGGGTGATGTCCTTGCATGTGAGTGGCAAACTGCGACCAAAACACAAGGGTACCACCCATAGACTAAACTAGGCTACAAAATGGTGTAGGCTAGCCTAGATGGACTCTCGGACTCTTGGTCGAAGTTGCACCAAGGTGGTCGAAATTGGCCCAACTGCCGGTCGAATTTGAACCTACCCGGGTCGAAGTTGAACCAAGTGAGGTATAATCACAAAAAAAGGTCAAGTATCGAATACTAGGGACCCCTGCATTAAAACGGAACCTGACAAAGGATCGAGAAACACCATTTTATAATTTAATTCCCACTAGGGCATCCTGGTATTGCTGAGCACTGAGAGGAGTGTCAGTTTGGAGCCAAATCCCAGAAATTTGGTTCTTTTGGATTGCGTCTGGCTCGGATAATTTCATTTGGGCCGGCTCTATTTCTCAGAACGTTCGGAAAAATAAACTTGAACTCTATTTCTCCTAAACGGTTTCCGTTCTCGAGATTTGTTGATAATGCGAATGAAGTGGCCCGTGTGTTGTGTTTATGTGTGTGTCTGTGTTTGTGTAAGGTATGAACGGGGGTGGGGAGGGTTGGTGGAGGGATTTTTTTTTTGGAAGAGGCTAGCCGTACTTAATGATGGCTAGACTGCTAGACTAGCCGTACTTATTCTTAATATGATGGCTAGACTGACCATAAAAAAGCCTACTGAATTGTAAATACATTTTTAGTATGCAGTACCTAAAGTATTGTTATTTGAGATGAAACCAGGTGCCTTAAAGACAGTGCATGTATTTTGAACCTCCTGTTTTCTAAGGACCTAAGATAAGTACGGCTAGACTGGCAGGCGTAAACCGTTAGGAGAAATAGAGTTCAAGATTATTTTCCCGAGCGTTCGGAGAAATAGAGCTGGCCTATTATTAATGGGCACTAGATTAGATCTAGCTCTATAACAGTAACAGTAGGAGGTTTCAGGGGGGCTTGAGCCCCCTGGCGAAAATAGGCTAAAAATTTTAAAAGCACACAATCTTCACGTTTGCATGGCAAATTATCAGTTTCAAAATGGCTGCGGAATTGGAAGGCAATTTTCAAAGAGCGCCATTTTGATCTTGGTCTTAGTTTATTACATTTTAATAATTGTATTAGTATTATTTGATTCTAGATGTAGATCTAGATCTAGGACTATAAATTATTATTATTTTAACATTTCAATTCAGTATTAAGGCCTAGTTTGAAAACAACAATAGGCTAGGGCTAGACAAGTTCTTTTACTCTTTAGGGAGGAATTTCATAACGAGAGACATCTAGATATAAATCTATCTATACTCTAATGGAAGTGGCTATTCTCTCCCCGGGTGAGAATAAAAATACGATTGACCTCCCACCCCGAGTTACACTTGCCAGTGTTGGCTATTCTCACCTGGTGTGAAACAAAACCTCCTAATTTCTGAATACTGTCTATCGGTGTGGATGATCAAAGTGACAATAACATAGAGAAAAAAAAATGATGTTATACCACAAAATAAAAAGTAAACTAATTTAGTGGTCTACAAAGATGCTACAGTGGTTAAAAAAATGTTTGTTTCTGTGCTATGTAGGCTTTCTGGACTGTTTTACAACTCCTGTCCTATTTTGTCTCTGCTGAGTGTATTTTGGTCTTTATCACTGTTTTTGTATATTGTTTCTTACATTTCTTATCAATTTTGTTTTTTTTAAATTTATTTATTTTCAGGGAAGTCTTCAAGGCTCGAGACAAAAAAACAAAAAATGTGGTTGCCATGAAAAAGGTTCTCATGGAGAATGAAAAAGAAGGGGTAAGTCCTGTGTCATTCAGAGTTTAAGGTAATCTGAGTGTATTCCCCTAGGTGTAAAACAGTATTTTTGCCTAGTTTTTAAATATTTAGATTTATGATAGTATTGTGAGAACAATGGTTTTAGTTGTTATTCTGACTCAAGATTTTGCTTACTAAACACTACATACAATTGGTGCATGGATGATGTACTGGTTTCTGATACATGATGAATTTACTTGAAAGATGTTTTATAAATCTGACAGTTTCCTTGGCTTACATTGCATGTAAGTAGATTATTGAAATTGGGGATGAGGAAGAAAAGCGACGAGGAAGAAGTTTTTGACATTTTTAGGTAAATGATTTTTTCCCAAAGATGATTATTCAGTACTCATTTCGTACTCATCTGACCTGTAATTTCAAATATATAAATTTTTCTTAACACAGCTGGACACAAAACATGCAGCTTCTTTCACAACTTTTTCCTGCTATTGTTATTGGTTTGTTTGTGAATAATTACTTGTTTTTATTTTATCCTCTTGAAAAAAAAAAACCCAGTTTAAGTTATATAGTTGAGTACTTCAAGTTGAGGGTGCTCAGATAGCATCATTGAGGAACAAGCACAGCCTTTTCCTGTAACTGTTGCCTTATATATATGGGTTCTGATTTTATTTTGGATGTTATTTTGTATTTTTCAAAAATATCTGTGTTGAATGTTATTGTTGTGTCATAGAGTTTCTTCTATATTGAATTTGGAATAGCGGAATCAAGACAAACAGAAGAATTAAACTTGTTTCAAGAAATAGCATGTGCTCTTGAGGTGTTTGCCATTGACTTGACACTAAAATGAATTTGTTGCTCTTCAGCTAAAATGGGCTCAAGTTTCCAACAGCCTTTTTTAAAAACTATGAGAGGGTTTGTCAGTTTTTAACGTTACAATATTTAACTGTGTGTGCCTTTTTTTTTCTTTCCTGAATCAAATATTATGTCAATGCTGTATTTCAGTTCCCCATCACAGCCCTGAGAGAGATCAAAATTCTGCAAGTGCTGAAGAATGATAACATCGTCAATTTACTGGAGATTTGCAGAGCAAAACGTGAGTAGATACTTTGAGTGTGAACATACTCTTTACAGCTAGTAGCTAGAATAGTTTGTCATGTTTTAGCAAGTCGTTGTTTCTTGCTTAAATATGTGTTTGTCAAAACTGCTGCCCAACTTGGAGGGAGAATATTGCCGAGGGGTTTTCATTTTGTAGAGACTGGTTCTCATTCTTTTTATTCCACCTCCCACCCCTTTAAAAAAGAATTGTAACGTTTTGTTTTTTTCAATAAGGATAAGTTCAGTGCTAGATTGACATTTTGAATAGGTGTTTCATACAATTATCAGGATTGACTCTCAAGCTGTGGGTGCATGGTTTGATTGTGTTTACCTAAAAATGATAATCATGACAGATTACATCAGATCATTGAATTGCATTACTCTTTTTGTGTGTTTCTCCTCTTTACTATAACAAATTCTAAAAACTTTTTAGGATTTGTTATACCTTAGTGACACTTGTAAGCTAATTAATAATTTCAAATGTGGTGTTTTGTACTCAGCCACGTTTTTTTTTAAAAATTTGATTATTGTTGGGTTTTTGTTTTGTTTTATTTTGTTGTTTGTTTGAGGGGGGGGGGGGGGGGGGGGGGGGGGGACGGCTCTTTTAGGATCACTGTTGTTTCTCTGGGTTTTTTTTTTAGGCTACTAGATATTCAAAATTATATTGTACAGTATGGGTTGAGATGGAAAAAATAAGCAGATGTTGTTTGACGAGTACTCATCTGCACTCTGTGTTGTGTTCTTCCTTCCTCTCTTCCCGTCCTGCTCCAGCGGCGCCGTACAACCGTTACAAATCCACGGTGTACCTGGTGTTTGAGTTCTGCGAGCACGACCTGGCCGGACTCCTAAGCAACCCGCAGGTCAAGTTCAGCCTGGCCGAGATCAAGAAGGTGATGCAGCAGTTGCTCAACGGACTCTACTACATACACAGGTGACTGACTCATCATGACGATTTTGTTTCGCTGGAAGTTTTTGTCTTGAATTGGTGTTCTGTTTTTTAATCTTTAGAGCTGTATCACTTTAATATATAAGGGTTTTAATAATAATACAGGGATGTAAATCTTCCGGGTTTTTCCGGCCGATTTGCCATTTGGGCCCCCAGCTTTTAACAAAAGTCTACTATAAACAATACATATTATATATATGAGCAATTGCCAAAACGTGAGACTCTCTTGAGACTCAGTGGTGCAAAAAAATTTTTCTTACCAATTTGACTCTCTTTTCTGTCAGTCACAGATTGACATTTAGTGCTCATATTCCTAGAGTATCAGAGCAAGGAGATGTAGGGTTTTGGAGATATGGGTCTATTGGTTTGGCAACCACTGTATTTCTTGTATGTAACAATGATGACAAAAACAGATAGCAACAAGGCAAATTATGGACTTAAAATTCCATTTGTTTAGTAAACAAAGACTTTGTACACTATGAACTCCACTCATAATGGTAATATGAATGACAAGCTTTGTAACAATGACGCAGTGCACAGAACATGTCATCATTGTTATGTACAAGAATGTATACACATTGGACATTATCATTGACAACACATCACAATAGTGAAAGGCTGTACAAAACAAATACAGCTATCAAAGCCTCAGTACCAGAAAAACACATGTGTAAAACAATTTTTAAACTAATATGAGGCAAAAGCACAAAATCAATGGAGCTGACCTGTACATAACAGTGATGACAAACATAACTTGTACATAACAGTGATGACACAATGTACAGGAAAAGACAAAGTCATGCCTCCAGAGAGAAATGCGCACTTTAAGAATAAAAAAAACCCAGGAGAGGTTTCTTTTGCTTTGAAACAGATATCAGGTCATATCAAAGACAGTGGACAATCACAATTATGTTGCTAATTATGACAAACAGTACTCGTACATAACAGTGATGACAAAACATACTGGGAAAAGGTAAAATCATGCCTACAAAGAACAAATTTGCACTAAGAGATACACAGATCAATACAGGCGTATTTTGCTTCTAAATATATCTTGCATGTATGAAATATATGTTGAAAACTTATTGATATTAGCAATGATGACAAATATTACTTGTACATAACAATGATGACACAATGACACAATGTATTGGGAAAAGGTATATCATACCAACAAAGAACAAATGTGTATTTTTGAGTTAGACAGATAAGCAAGGACATGTTTGTTTATTTGTTTGAGTAAAGAGAGCACACATGACTTTTAAAATGTATGCTCTGAGGACAATGTAATTTCTAGTACGTCAGTCAGTCTTGTACGGCTGCATGACGACACCCCCAAACGTCATCACTAAGCACAAAAGCTTAATCTATAACCACAGAAATGATCCATCTCTCTAAGTTTGTTCACACATCACACTCTTGTTCCAGGAATCCAGTGTTAACACCGCAATTTCACTAAAATATTCAACAGAGTAGCCTAAAAACACGCAAAACAGTCCAGTATGTCACATTCAACGCAAAATTCTTGTGCGGCAGCGGACACTGAAGGCAGTGACTACTTTTGTTTTTCTGTTCCCCCCCGTTGCTTCCGTTGTTCTGCGGAAGTGGGTAAGGGGAAGTCACTCAAGAAAACAATTATATCCGGGCACTGTTGATGACCCGTTCAAAACAAAAGTGGGCGAAATTCGGACTTCCGGAACGTCGCAAGTTGACGACAATCACGGCGAATGTTATACAGCCGACCGAAATCGTAGATCTAGGAACCCGATGTTCCTTTCGCGCATCGCGGCTTTTGAACTATTGAATAAACGACGAAAAGCAAAAAGATTTAACCAACTACAGTGATTCTACTGAAAAATAATGGTGTTTTCTGAAACACCTAGTCCGTGACGACACGACTGACGCACAAGTGATCTGAATTGTTCGTTTATTTGCAAACAAATAAACCGATATCTTGAGCAAGTTAACCTTTCTCGATGACAAATAGCATAGGATCAAAGCACACGTAAAAAAAAAACACACCCCAAAATACTAAATTTTGGACATTCTTGAAAGTTTGCATTGGTGTGCTCAAAATGACACTCCAGGAATCACTAAAAAACGAACATTTTTGGCACAAAATTTACAAAGCCAAGATTATAAAGCTGACATGGGGTCTGAAACTGCTAATGCAGGTTCTACATCTTATATTTGACATGTGTATAAGTTTTGGAGGAATAAATACAAATGCGTCACATTTTATGCACACTAATGTGAGATGTGTGTGTTTTTCCCCACGTTTTGGCAATGGCTCATATACTAAATAGAGATTAGTTGTTGTAATAGAGGGAAAGAAACAAATATAATTTAGTCTCACTGTATTCTTTTTTCAGTCGGTGGGCGTGCGCCATATATTTTCCGCCTTTTTTTTCAGAACCTGTTTACATCCCTGATTATAATAAATGACTTTTATATAGCGTTCGACCCCGATTAAAGTACACAGGCTCTGAGCGCTTTACAATACAGTACAACGAACAACAGTAACATAAAACGTTGTGTTCTGACTAAAAGAAAACCACTCCAAATATTCATTTTATTAATTTAAAAACAGAAACGACTTCAGCTGACATTTGAATGAATTAAAAAAGAGGTTATATGTGGCCAACTCTTCTTTCAAGCAGGATATCTTGGACAATTTCTTAACATAACAGAAAAAATGGGGCCACAATGGAGGAACACTGACATGGTGACATATGAGAGTGAAAGTAAACTAGAGACATCAGAAATATGCTTTCTTAGGGGACTTATAACATTTAGTAAGAGACAAATACAGTTTCTGGAATCCTTGAATCAAATTAAAGTTGTTGAGCCACTCATTGCTAGGAAATTCCAAACTATTATTACAGGTTATCAAAGATTTTTTTTAGTTAAGTTCCCTTTTTTTCTTTTTAACTGAGTTCTTTCCCTTTTTAACTTCTGTTTATGCTGATAAATTGTTTAAACCCCTTGAGCCTTGTCAGTTCCCCTTTAAAAAAAATATATTTGTGATAGTATGTAGTCATGATAATGTTTCTGATGTTTTGTGTGTTACCAGATTGGTATGTTATGTTCAATAGACTTACTTTGTCGGTTCCTTCCTTTTGTTCAGCAACAAGATCCTGCATCGTGACATGAAGGCTGCCAACATTCTCATCACTAAAACCGGGAGGCTGAAGCTTGCTGACTTTGGTCTCGCTAGAGCTTTCAGGTAATTTGGGTTTGTGGTTTATCATGGAGTGTTGGGGGGAGGGGGTTGTATTTAGAGTTCTAGAATTTTCTTTTAAATGGATGTGGTATTACACACTACAAGAACGCTGAAGGAAAGATGGGTAGATGACATCTCGGAGTGGACGTGTCTGAAAATATTTGAGGCTATGAGAAAGCTCAGCAATTGAAAGCAGTGATGTGAGATTAGTGGAAAGTTTGTCTGTGGCCCAGCCGTTGACAAGACTGGGATTTGTGATCGAAATGATGGTGAAGTTGATGAAGTCTAGAACAGAATTATTTTTTTTGCTCTTTATGGAGGAGAGAGTTGTCAAAGGAAAGGTCATGTGTGGTTGGTGGATGCCTCTTCTGGTACCAAGCCACCTGTGGAAAGTGAATCTATTCTTGCTTGTGATTGGAGGGTTCCACAAATTTCTCCTACTTGTTGAGGTGAGGATTGGTCATGTTAGACAGGTGGGTGATCTTCTTGGACAGTGTCTAAGGAAAAAAATATGATGGGGTCGTGGAAAGTGGTCACTTGCACAGCTGGTTTTCTTTGGCAGGTGGTACTTTTGGAGCAGGTTCAACTGTAATTTGATGTTCTTATGGCATAGGTTCAATTTTAAGCATTGTGGTTCCATCTGGTTTCAGCGACAAACTGAACCATTACACTTAGTAGCATGGTGACCTTGTGGTTTTAATTGTCAGTTCACAAACTGTTGTTAATAGTTGTTTTTTTTGGCTTGACTTTTACGACACTTACAACTTTACATCTGTTGTTTTTGTACGTCTGTCTTACTCTTTCCACTCATGAAATGGCTGTTTATTGTGTCCAAGTGCTTCTCTTTGCTCCAACGAATAAAGAAACAAGTCTTTCCCAAAGACCATCATTGTGTTGATGTGTATTTCTTATTTACTCCAACTCTTAACTGGTTGCATCTGGTTTTCAGCGACAAACTCAACCGCTACACCAACCGCGTGGTGACCTTGTGGTACCGGCCGCCGGAGCTCCTGCTGGGCGAGCGCAACTATGGGCCGGCCATTGACCTGTGGGGCGGCGGCTGCATCATGGCGGAGATGTGGACACGCAGCCCCATTATGCAGGGCAACACCGAGCAGCACCAGGTGAGCAGCGTCTTGTTAGGCGCACGCATGGCCTGTCAGAACGAATGGTCGCTGGTCAAATAGACTCTATTTACGTGATTAGTTTAGATAGGTCGGGTTTGGTGGGGTAATGGCGCAGGTTAGGTGGATACTATAGTATCAAATAGACCTCTGCTTTTTTTTATGTGTCACAACGCGGTGGAATCAGGTGCTCGTCAATTTTTGGGCATTTAGAGTTATTGATATTATCTGAAAGCTTTTTTATTTGCTTTGCTTTCAGTAAAAAAAATGCCCATCTATCTTAAATAGAAGTCAAGATATTTGCGATTGAAGAGGCTGAGGTAGCTTGATTTCAATGTGGAAATTTGCGAGAAAATGGCCGCCAACGTTTGGTAACTGCAATAGTGAAAGAGTCCTTGAAAACTGAAAAATGACATAATGTGTGCCTTTAATCAACGTTTTTCAGTAAAATTCACACGGAAATGTGTTTTTATTTGGACATAAAAGGGATTGAGTGAAAAAACAAAAAATTGACAAAAAATGCTAACTGGCAGAAAAATGCCTGTTTCTCCAGTTTTGTTCTTTTGACGACCACCTAATTTCTCCACGATGCCCCACATCTAATTTGACCCGAAGCCCCATTAGGGCATATCACATTTGGCTCGTAAACAAACCATCTGACCCTGTGATGTCATGTGACACGTAGTGGCCTTGTCCCTGGCAGTTGGCCGCACTTTTTTAATAAAAGAAATGTACTCAACTGCGACCTAAAAAATTGAAGGTGTTTGATTTAGGAGAATATGATCAAATTGCTGCAAAAAGTAGCTTTTGCCCCTCTTTAAAAGAAAACCTGGATGCTTTCAAATGTAGTAAACCGAATCAAACGGATTGGGGGGAAACTCTCCACTGTGTGCACGGAGCGGAACGATATAAATGAGATATTCATTGTTTTTATGTGTTATATTTTTCGTTTTTATTGAATTTGGTTCCCACTGAAGTATACTGTATAGATAAACTTTCACTGGTGACAACATGTCACAAGTTTCAACCTTAGAAATGCTGTTTCACTTGCAGTTCATGTCTCTGTATCCTCATATGTCTGATGAAAGTCTTATGAAGGTACATGTGGGTGGTTGGCTGGTGCTCAGGTGTGGTTTGCTTCTTCTTTCCTGTCAAACATCTATTGTCCTTATCTTTCATCTTTCTTTTTAATGTTTGTTACTCCCTTGTCACACCTCTAATCTTCCGTACTTATATGACCTTATTGTGTTGCAAGTGTTGTAAAACTTTTACTAAAACAACTAGGTACGTGTAGAATTATTTTTTTGAAGATTCCTCAGTTGCTGTGGGAATTCCACTCGTTCCATTGTCTTACTGAGTCATAGTGTGTTTGTCTGTTTTGTTAGAGTGTAAGAAAATGTTTAAAATGAGTCTGGTATATATCGTTGATTTTATGTTCCAAAAGTGTAACTATAGGTCAACTATTGTTTTGGTTCCAAAACAATTTGTTGGGGTAGATATCTGGGTGCTCAATAAAAATCAGAAGTCAGCTTGCACCATAAAAAGCAGAAAAGTACTGTGTACAAGTTTTCGTCTTCTCTCATCATTTAGATAAAAAATTTGGATTTTTTGTTCATTTAAGTTTTGAATAAACGAGTTGCACATTTCAAGCATAGCACTGTTGATTCATGTATGTTATAATAGACTATACATTTTTAACCGATTGATGTGTCCACAGCTTACCCTGATCAGCCAGCTGTGCGGGGCTATCGCTCCAGAGGTCTGGCCGGGTGTGGAGAAACTCGACCTCTTCACCAAGATCGAACTGCCCAAGGGAGACAAGCGCAAGGTCAAAGAACGCCTGCACAAGTTCGTCAAGGACCAGTACGCCCTCGACCTCCTGGACAAGCTGCTGACCCTCGACCCCTCCAAGCGGGTCAACTCGGACGACGCCCTCAACCACGACTTCTTCTGGGTGGACCCGCTGCCCCAGGACCTGAACAACATGCTGTCGCGGCACAACAAGTCCATGTTTGAGTATCTGGCCCCGCCCCGGCGGAGAGTGCCCATACACCAGCAGCCCCAGCATCCGGGCGCCGTCAGACCCACGGGGCACAACCCCGACCAACACTTTGAACCTATTTTTTAAAAGCGGGATTCCCTCAGGGTGTGTTTGTGTGTAATCTCTTTGTGCTTTTTTTAATGCCAGACGCACGCACATTTGCACGCCTTTGTGGTTCTTCCTGAAGTATTCGGTGTTGTGATGAGCCCTGCCTGTTTTTTCAAACAGCTTAGAACAAGTGTGCGGCATAGGGAGGGAAGGAGGAGTCTACTCATATTTGACCCGCGCTTGTGGTTGGGAGCTCTTCTTCATCGTGGACAGATTCTTCGCGTTGGTGATCGTGTTCTACTGACACGTTTCAATCTTCTGTGGAATTTTCCGTCAACCGTTGGATTTTTGGCAGAAGTGGCAGCAGCCAGACCTTTGGTGGTTCGAAGTGATGACTGTCAGATGTGAGTGCACGATGCAGGGGCTAGATTTGTTCACCCGCAACTGTCTTGGTATTCGGCTCGACCATTCTTAGTTCCAGCCGCTCCAGCTTTTGTGGGTGGATTGGTTTAGCTCTTTGACATCACACTAAAAATTCATGGAATTGATTCCCTTGTGGAGATGGGTTGTTTTTTGGGGGTTATTTTTAAAGCTTTCTGTCACTATCTCCCAACTTGAATTCACGGCGTTGGTTGGGGTGACTAGCCGTGTGGAGAACAAGGGCGTTCATTTGGCTTATTTCGAACTGGAACATTTTTTTTCCACCACTTTTTTTTATTTACCGTCGCTCAAAATTTCCATAATAGGTGATATTCTGGTCAGCAACATCACAGCCGTTTATGTCGTGGTTGTAGTGGTCGAAAACTGTTGGTTGTCCTGTTGTCAGGAGACGGGCCAACTCATCAGATCCTGAAACACAAAATCCAGAAACAAATGTAAAAGAAATTGATAAGACAATAACAGGTGTTACTGCAAGATTTACGGCACCACACACTCTCAGACGAGGATGACCCCCCGGGGCGGTGCCACTGACTGAAGTGTCTTTAGGCCCTTCCCAACCAATCATTCAAATCATCATCTGAGTCTAAACCTTGAGTAAAAAGGTCCCTTGCTTGCTCAGACGTGAATTGTCATGGCGATCGACTGTCCGCCATGTCTACCAAAAAAGTAGATCACAACAGGTTGTCTAGAAAACGTGTGGAAATGAGCTAAAATGTGCAGAAATGCATCTTTATTCGCACTGAAATTCGAGCCAAGTGAATGAACTTCTGGTAAAAGAGACCTATTTTCGGTAATTGCCGAAAATTAATGTAATGTCATTCTCGTCGTAAATGAATGAGAGCGGCTCGCTGGAGATAAAAAGTTAAAATACTCCCAAATGAAATATTAAATGGTATATCAAACTGCAAACTCAGCGTTTAAAGTATAAACACAGCTAGATTTCGGTACAGTCAATGAGAATGTTGCACAAGGCTTACATCTACAGCTTTTGTGTGAAAATATGTAGAAATGAAAATTGTATCTTTTTTTTTTTTACTGTTTTCACACTTATTCTAAAATAATGGCAATATCCAAAAGAAAAAAATTATGTTTCTTATGAATGTAAACTGTCCTGAAAAAAGCTTCTTCAGGTTCCAGCATTCAACATGTATATCTATACATTCAAAATGAATGAAACTTTTATCTTAGTGTTTAATACAAAATGAAAGCTGTCACTCTATGTTTACATGTATCAGGAGCGATTTTTCTCCCTCGTATCCACTCTTTGTCTATTCAGTGACACAAAAAAATTCTTGTACATTTTTGTACATGATTAACAAAGGAAGAACATTCTGGCAGAGCATATGAGCGTGTATAGTTTTTGGTGCTATTTTTGCCCTCTTATACCACAAGGTGTCAAGGGGAGATGTAATATTGTTGTCTTATTGGATGCAGAAATGGTCTGTCACTGTGACCTGAGCAGACAGTAACCTGTTTTTTTTTTTAGTATCCCCCACCCAGTCCGCTGCACACAACACAGTTCCTGTCCCAGTGAAATGCGCATGAATGCTTGAATTGATGAGGGAAGAAATGAGGGTTGGGAAATGGAGATAGATCAAGAGAGGAGAGGGGGTGGGGGGTAGATCAGAGATGTTCAGCACAAGTACATGTATTATCATAAAACAAATGCCATAGTCCTTTAAAAAAAAAAAATCAGTTTTTAGTCGTTGGTATAGTAAAAATGCCAGTTACTTGCTCATATATGTTCACTATAGCAAAGTTCTATTTTGTGGGGGTTTTTTTTTTACTTTTCACAAGACGCCAAAAAGTGAATTGGGCAAGTCAGTTAGGACTAAAAGTAGTATCACAGTTTCTGCTTGTGTTGACAATGAACTGTATTGTAAGGGATGATTTCACGACATGTATAATAATCCCTCACTTATGCAGTTGCGAGCGCCGTAAAACCCCTACTATAAAAATAGATAAAAATAATCCGTCATCATAGACGACGGTTCGACGGGGTTAATCCCTCATCATAGACGATGGTTAATCCCTCATCATAGACGATGGTTAATCCCTCATTATAGATGATGGTTAATCCCTCTTTATAGATGATGGTTCATCCCTCATTATAGACGACGGTTAATCCCTCATTATAGACGATGGTTAATCCCTCATTTTAGACAACAGTTGTGAAGTGTGGCTCCGAGTCCGAGGGGAATAATGGCAGTGTTGGATCTGGGTCCAGTTTAAAAAGTCTTTCATCTTGTTGTACATACTGTCAAGATATATAGATCTATCTTTTATTGTTTTATTTTTGCACTTTCTGATTGTGTTTGATTGATGTTGTCAAAATAGTTACATTTGTACACCGTTTCAATAAAGCGGTGTTAAAAAAAAAAAAAATAAAGATTAAATTGTCTGTTGTGTTTTCTTTTTACTAATTGAATTGGTGGGTGGCTGGCAGGTGCTCTGGTGTGGTTTGCTTCATCTTTCCTATCAAACGTCTATCGTCCTTCTCTCCTCTCCTTCTTTTGTGTGTTTGTTACCCTCTTGTAACACCTTTAATCTTCGGCAGTTATATAACCTTATTGTGTTGCAAGTGCCGTAAAACTCTTACTAAGACTAAACTAATTGAATTGCACATTGAAATTCTGAGAAATGTGAGCTTGAAATTGCTGGTCATTGGTATGTCAGTGACCCCGACTCTGTTCTTTGTTACCGCATTCCCATTCTGCACGTGGTCGCGGGGAACCACTAGTAGGCCCTACTTCTGACCCTCTGTTGTTTCTGTCTGTCTGTTTTACTGCTGCTTCTTCCTTCCTATCAAACATCTATCATCCTTATCTCCCCTTACCTTCTTCTTTTTTATGTTTGTTACTCTCTTGTAACACCTGTAATCTTCTGGCGCTCATATGACCTTATGCAGTTGCGAGCTCCGTAAAACCTCTACTAAAACTAAAACTGTTTTACATTTTCACACCACAGAAGAGGTGTTATTGTGTCGTTTTTGGTTTTGTTTACTTGAACAAATCTTTCCCATTCATCCTATTTGTAGCAGCATTTTGTTTCATGTATTAAAAATCCAACTGCCGACGTAACTGAGTTTTTGCTTTTGCCTGTCAAAATTTAAATTGCTTAAGTTTAAGTATACAGTTAACTTATTTAAGTACTTGGATTTTTTAAAAGTGTTCTCAAAACAACCCCCCCCCCACACACACCTCGGGCAGTTATGTTGTAAATGTGACCTTGTAAGTATAAACCAGTCATCCCAAGTTGGCTCATGAGTGCACTGCCTTTGAGACCTGGTCCCCCAAACCAGTGGGGCTTGAGCATGTAAGCTCCATTTTGGTAGACAGTCAGATTTAAAATAATGTCTACTGATGTGTGCATTTGGTGCGCAGAAGAGTAACTGTGAAGGAAGCATATATGTTTTAGCGTTTCTTCAGCACTACAATCCCAAGCTCACGCTTACGCTTGGGTTTGTGGGGCTGAAGTACATTGTGTTTGGTTTCCTAAAGATGTGAACAAGTGAACTTAATTGAATGATATATTTTGTTTGTATGTTATATGTCTGGGGACGCATTGATGCTTGAATGTGATAATAGATATGATTGTGAACTCATTAATTCATGTGAGTTGCCTTTTTTGTGATCAGTTTTTGCAAAGCATTTTGGAAAACTTTCTTTGTGAGTGGATGTGGCGGATGCTCTGGTGTCGTTTGCTCTTTCTGTCCTATCAAACATCTATCGTCCTTATTTCCCCTCCTCTTGTTGTTACTTTCATGTAGCACCTCTAATCTTTGCGAGTGCTTTGGTGTGGTTTGCTTCTTCTTTCCTAATGTTACTATTAAACATCTATCATCTGTATCTCCTCTCCTGTTTTTGTGTTTGTAAGTCTCTTGTACATGTAACACCTCTGATCTTTGTGAGTGATTGGCAAGTGGTCTTGTTTGGATTGCTCCCTCTTTCCTATTACACACCTATCGTCCTTATCTTTCCTTTTTAAAATATCTGTTACTGTCTTGTAAAACTTCCGGTCTTGTCATGGGTACGCATATGACCAGATTGTGTTGCAAGTGCCTTAAACTCATACTAAAGCGTAAAACAAACACTTTCTTTTACACAACTCTTTGATTTCTTTGATATTCTTCAGTTTACTGCAGGCTTCTTCACAACTCTGTTTGAGCATCATGTATGGCCTGTTGCCACTGTGTGGGTTACCTTGGTTCAAATCCTGAAAGGGGCATGTCTTAAAACTTGGACAGTGTAATAAGATTTTAGGGATCTTAATCATCCAGTGAGGTCTTTTTGGATGCCTGTGCCTCTAAATCGTATGGCAGAAGGAGATGAGGGCAGGTAGAAGAAAAGATTTGAGGATTACACTTCAAGGTGGACAGGTCTGAAAATAATATATATCCCCGGCCAGCTCTTCAAATGTACATAGCCGGAATTTTATAACTGAAAAAAAAAGCAACAACAACCCAAAAACAGTTTCTTAATACGTCATATTGGCTGCATGTACTTGAGATATATTTTGTTCACATTCAGATTCTTAATTGATGCTGAAAAAAGCAGAAAAGATCATTGATGTAGTTAATTATTAAAAAGAATAAGTTTTTCTTGTGTGTGTTTTTATCTGCGCTGAAAAGTTAGCTGAACAACGTGCTGACGATTTGAGACATTGAGTATATTATTAGTAGGTCTAACTCTCGAAATTAAGAGGAATGCAATCAGTGGAAAGTTGTCCATGGTGCCTCAGCTTCTGACAAGACCGGATTTGATTGACAGTGATTATGATTAGTATAATCTTTTTAGTGGAAAGTAAAACCAACCAACTTCTTTTCTTTCATTCTGTCGTTTGTCTATGTCCATGCCTACCTTGCTTAAAAAAAAATCTTTAAGATACTACCACGGGTGATTGGAGGGCACCACTGGTTGGTCCTGCTTCTTTACTTTCCCTCTGTTGTTTCCTCATGACTAAATGACCACCATTGTGTTGATGTGCTTCTCTCGACTCAAACAAATAGGACACTATAATACATTCAGGGAAAAATCCAGTTAGATCGCCGTTTAATCTTTGCGTGTGAGCGCATGATCGATCATTGAACATCCACCAGGTAAATGTCCACATGCCGTTCCACGTGAGTGAATCATGAATAACCGATCTCTGAATAACCCCGGCAGATTTCCCCTTATGTCTCTCCATGTGAGCGAATGTAACACGCATTGTGGCTGGAAAGCGCCTCAGTGTAATGGATCATTCTTCGTTTCTTTTCTTCTCCTCCAGTATTTTCTATAACATGCCGTGCTACGTAACTGTCAATGCTCTAAATCTCTGAGCATTATCTAATCACTGAACAGCCCCCCCCCGCCCTTTTTGCGCCCCCCCCTTCCTCTCATCCATGTCTCTATGTATTCCTCATGATGTACGCGTTAACTGGTGAGTGAGTGGAGTCCTCGTCACAATAGATACTCAGAAGTTATTTAAGAATTCTTTTGGACGCCCGGACAATGGCGCTTATAGTTAAAGGCGGGTCTTGTATTCCCGCCTTGATACGTTCGTGTAGTGAACTCTCTTTTTCTGGATCGGAGATCGTGGAGGGTTTTTGTTCAATGCAACGTTCACGTTTTGGCTACCCAAGAATTGTAAAGTTCTACCTTGGTCATTTTAGAGTGCTATGACCATAAAGTCAGAAATCAAATGTTATATCTGCCCTATCAAAATGGTAAAAATTATATTCTTAGTCGTTGTCAAGTTATTCAACAAAGAATTGCATTCTAAAAACTTGACATGTTGTGAAACTCCAAAATTTTAAACTTCAAATTTCTCAAAACTAAGTACATGTACTTAGCAGATAGAACTTTGTACTTCTGGAGTAGCGTCTTGCTTCCTCCCTCTATAAACTCGGAAACGTGAACGTTTTATAGCATTCTCATGATGTGACATTTGGCAATACATGTACATGCAATACTTACAGCTTTGCTAATGGCACAGTTTGAACCTATTAACTTGGCGTGTCTGCCAGGAGCTCGGTTGGTGTTACACAACAGTGCTGCGTGGGTGACGGGTCATTAGTCATGAGTTGGAATCTCCGCTTGAGCGGGAATGAAATAAAAAAAAAAATTTTTAAATGTAGTCTTTGGTTGTTTGGGAAGTTTCCAAGGCTCTCCGACAAGGAGCGGTCACATCGCACGGTGTTAATATTTTTTTTTTTTTTTTTTCTTGTTTTTTTTTTTTTTTTGGGGGGGGGGGGGGGTTGCTTTGGTAAGTGTTTTTCGGCGTTCGGATCATATGAGCGCGCGCGACACATATTAACTGTTAAGCATTTACAGTTTGGTAGAAATTAATTTTGAATTTTACCCCGGTGGCTGTCCAAGCCTACTCTTACCCATTTTAGGACCACTAAGAGATTTGAACTTGTGCAAATAGGACACGGGGCCTGGGAGACATTTTTGCCGGTATTCGAGAAGGCAAAGTGTTGGATCGTTCCTACTACTATAAGATCTGGGGTGTGGCTGAAAGACAGCAGTAAAATAGAGCCAAGGTGTTGCAGTAGAAAGGCTGCAGAAAGAGTCAAGAGCTCAGAGGAGGGGGCAAAAGAGAAGGAGGTAAAAAGTCTGCTTTCGTCTCCACTTTCTGCCCCCTCCCCCCCTCTCTTTTGCCCCCTCCTCTGGGATCCTGACTCTTTCTGCAGCCTGGTGGTTTCGGGCAGGTGGTCAAGAACGTGTATGTAAATCTCCTATTTTGTGGGTGGTTAGCCGGTGCTCTGATGTGTTTTGCCCCTTCTTTCCGATCAAACACCTGTCATCCTTATCTCCTCCTTTTTTGTTTTTGTTACTCTCTTGTAACAACTGTAGTCTTCGGCACTTATATGACCTTATTGTGTTGCAAGTGCCGTAAAATACTTACTAAAAACATTTCCTATTATTACAAACCTCCAGTTCTACTCACACACGCAAGTTGATGATTTAAACGACGAGAGATGGTTCAAAACAGTTAACCGACAGTACTTTTTATAATATTTTTAGAATGCATTTGACTCCTGATTTTTTCTTGAGAACAAGCAGAAAACTATTCTGCAACGGAATTATTACTATTTTGTTTGCTTGTTTGTCATTTGAATAGTGACTTCACACGGAGACTCAGTTGTAACTGTCCACCCCGAGCAACTCGAAACCTGGTAGCGACGGAAAATTTTGTTCTCTAAAATGTTCTCCTTTCAACCCCTTTCCTGCTTATCAACCATGTTCTGTCGTCTGCTTTCGTCTCCACTTTCTGACCGTTTGCTCCCTCTTCCCCTGCGCCCCCTTCTCTGGGCTCCTGACTCTTTCTGCAGCCTGGTGGTTTCGGGCATGTGGTCAAGAACGTGACCATAGTTATAGTGGCGTGGATTATGTGTGTAAATCTCCTATTT